GCGAGACAAATAGATGAATGGATAGACACAATATCTTTTTAAAAGGAGGGAGGCAATGCTTGCAGTGTGTGTGTGTGTGTTGGGAAGCTGAGTTTGGCTCAATCCAATCTGTCAAAAACATTTGAGCTGTTTATTCCACAAACACCACTTGCCACCTTTGTCAAAACAGTCCCTGATTTAGGCTGGATCTACAGTGCCATATAATCCAGATTATCAAATCAGAAAATCCAGATTATCTGCTTTGAATGGTATTATATGAGTCTACATTGCCTATAATTTGGTTCAAAGCAGATAATCTAGATTATCTGATTAAATTGGCAGTGCAGATCCAACCTGAGTCTACACTACCATATAACCCAGTTCAAAGAAGATAATCTGGATTTTTTATGGCAGTGTAGATGGGGCTTTCAGATGGATCTACACTGCCATATAATCTACATTACCAAATCAGATAAATCAGGTTAGACTTATCATATACTGTATTATATGATGAGTCTACACCGCCCTATAATCCAGTTCAAAGCAGATAATATGGATTTTATATGGCAGTGTAGGGGCTCTTCCAGACAGACCAATATGGAGGACCCGTCTTGGTTTTACCTGAGGAGTCCAAGGGCCCTTCCACACAGTCATATAACTCAGGATATCAAGGCAGAAAATCCTACAATATTGATTTTGAACTGGGTTATCTGAGTCCACGCAGTTCAGTACAAAGCAGATAATGTGGGATTTTATTCAGCTGTGTGGAAGGGGCCTAAATGATCCCTTAGGAAAACTTAATTAATCTGGAGAAAACCAGGATTTCCCAGTTTGCTCCAGATTAATAAAACACCTGAAAAAGTTCTGGACCTTAATCAAAATGTCCGGGTCTTTCCTGTTGAGTGACCTATGGAGATTGACTCCCGGGCAGGCCCGTAGCCAGGATTTCATTTCGGGGGGGGGGCTGAATTTTTTTCGGGGGGGGGGGGCTGAGTTTTGGGGGGGGGGCTGCGTCTGAGTGAAAGAGGGTCTAGCCTAGCAAACCTTTTGTATCATTACCCCAATACCCCCATGCATATGGGATATATTGAGTATGGTGATCAGATCATGATATGAATAAACATAACAGTTTAAATAATGCACCAGTAAGGCCTTCTCGCGGACCACCATGAGAATTTCGGGGGGGGGCGAGCCCCCCGCCCCCCCCTCCCCCGGCTACATGCCTGCTCCCGGGACTGCTTCTTTGGTCCCAGGAGTCAATCCCCACAGTGATCCTGGTTCTTCAGGCTCTAAGAGTCTGAAGAAGCAGGATGGTGTCTCCATCCCTCCCCCCCAGCCCATTTCTACCACCCCCAAACTTACCTGAGGAGCCTGCCGGCAGTACAGGCTCCTCCAGAGAGCTCTCTTGGCACTCAAAAATGACGCGTTGGGGGTTGGGGGCAGGGATCCCTCCTTTCCCCCAGCTCTTGATGTGTCATTTTCGAGTGCCAGGAGAACTTTTCAGAGGGGCCTGCACTGCTGTCAGGCCCCTCAGGTAAGTTTTTCTGAGGGGGAATAGGGGACTGTCTCCATGTTCGCCACTGCACCAGGGAAATTCTGATGTTTGGGGTTAAATAACCCAGTTTCTCCCAGCTTTAAGGCCTATCTGGAAGGGCCCTCACTCTGAAATAAACTTGTCAAGAAAATCCTGCAGTAGGGTTGCCTTTGAGTCACTATATGTCAGAAATTACTCAAAGCCCCCAAACATGAAATAGGACTTAGTGCCACCCATAGCATGACCTTTTCCACCGTGATGGGATTGCATGCTCCTAAGAAGGAGCCCCCAGCAGTGCAATGGGTTAATCTTTGTACCAGCAGGACTGCTGACTGAAAGGTTGATGGTTCAAATCTGGAGGGCAGGGTGAGCTCCCATCTGTCAGCTCCAGCTTCTCATGCGGGGACATGAGAGAAGCCTCCTACAGGATGGTAAAACATCCGGGCGTCCCCTGGGCAATGTCCTTGCAGACGACCAATTCTCTCACACCAGAAGCGATTTGCAGTTTCTCAAGTCACTCCTGACACACACACAAATGTTTCTGGAAGGCAAGAGGAAAAAAAAAAGTCTGGACCAATGCCTGGGACATTGTCAGGGAGGAATTCAATAAGACACCATTTGTAGCCAAGAAGAGAAACCTCAATAGATAACAGATGAACCTCTTCAAGCAGTTAAGGGCAGATGAGAAGAAAAAAGTAAGAAGTGACAAAATAGAGTCAGAACGCTCAACACTGAATCTCCTATTCGTGGGGTTGAAACTGACAAGGAAAGTGAGCGAAGTCTTTCTATAGATTTGAGCTGATTGGGTTTGGTGGAGTTGTTTGCAAAGAAATATTAAAATTAATAAGAGTAAGGCAAGGATGGAGGAAACCTCTAATGTTTCAGGTCTGCAGAGGGATTAGTTATTCAAGGCTAGAGGTATTCCTTAGCTGGAAGCAGTAGGAAGCAAATAGATTAAACTGAGCAATTCTACAACCAGCATGATGTCTGGTCTTAACTGATGGTCTTTTCATGGAACAGTGCAGCAGAGCTATGGTGACAAGAGTAAAAGATGTATCTCCTTAATTCCTCCACCCCATGTTTGATAATGGTATGCAAACAGAATTTTGTCTGGGAAGAGGTTCTTAAAATGCTAATGGTTTTTGACAGCTGTGGGCTTAAATCTGCATTTTGATTTGTACCCAAAACTAATTAGTCAAAAGGAGAATAGGATGGTCTTTACTAGATCATATTTTCATTTATAGGTATTGTAATTGTATGTGGGACAAGTTATGGAGGCTCCAAATTTAACTCCCGAGCCAAGAATCCTGATCAGTCATGATGTTTCCTTTTCTCCTTCACAACACTATTTTGCACATACAACAGAAGGAAGGAAAGAGCTACCTATGATATTTTGAATGTCTTGGGGAAAACATTAAAATAATAATGGGTTTAGCACAACAGGCTAAACGTGGAGCCCCTAGTGGCGCAAGACCGACAGATCATAGGTTCGAATCCAGAGAGAGCACAGATGAGCTCCCTCTGGCAGCTCCAGCTCCCCATGCGAGGCCATGAGAGAAGCCTCCCACAAGGATGGTAAAACATCAAAGCATCCAGGCATCCCCTGGGCAACGTCCTTGCAGACAGCAAATTCTCTCACACAGAAGCGACTTGCAGTTTCTCAAGTCGCTCCTGACACACACACACACAAAAGCAGGCTAAGCCACTGTGCTTCAGAAGAACTCTGCAGATCGGAAGGTCAGCTGTTTGAGCCTGGGTTGGGGTGAGCACCTGCTATTAGCCCCAGCTCATCTGTCCACCTAGCAGGTCGAAAGCAGGAATGCGAGTAGATACCACTTTTAGCAGGGAGGTAACAAAGGTGCCTGTAAGGACATCGATCGGAGGAAAGTTCCTCAGCATGGAAGATGGAGTGACAGCACCCCTTGTGGCCGGAGTCAAGCAAAGCCTCCAGGATGCCAGAAATAAGATAGGAGAAACTGCTTTTACCACTGTTTGTGTTGTGTGATCTTGTACAATCAGCATTGAATGTTTGCCATATGTGTGTTCCGTAAAAGTCACTCTGAGTCCCCTTTGGGGTGAGAAGAGTGGGATATAAACACTGTAAATAAATAATAAAAGATTGGTTGAAAAACGCTAGACAAAATCATTGAATAAACATGAGTGAACGTGATTAGTCCTATGTACCTATGCTCAAAATGGGGAATTCTGTTCTGAGCAGACCTTAAAATACTCATATGTCTTTTTGTCAGTTATGAGGAATCATAAAATCATACAGTTGGAAGCAAGACCATAAGGGCCATTCAGCCCAACCCCCTGCCATGCAGAAACACACAATTAAAGCACCCCTGACAGATAGCCATCTGGCCTCTGCTGTAAAACCTCCAGAGAAGGAGGCTCTAAGGCAGTGGCATATTTCACTGACAACAGTTCTTACTGTCAGGAAGTTCTTTCTAATGTTTAGGTGGAATGTTTAGTCCAGACTGATACAATCAAGGGGGATTTTCACAAGTTGGTTCATCACTTCCACAGGCAACCACGTATGTGTGGGCAAGTGGGCTCGTAATTTTTTGAGGTGTACTTGCAGTTCTCCTGACATGAAAAAAGAAACCTTAGATAAAAAGGAAAAATTAAGGTTTGTTTTTGAATTTGTTTTTGGAATATTTTCAAGCCATCAATAGTTGAATGCATAAATGCAAAATTCATGGATACAACGGCCAGACTGTACTGTAACAAACAAACACTTTTCACCCCTACTGTGAGAACCTCTGCTCAATTGTAATAAACGTATTGTCCGCTTTGACACTTAGATGGATTTTACCGCCCAATGCTTCATTATAGAGCTGAAGATTTCTTCTACTCAACCCCTGCTGCTTTCTAGCCATTGCCTCACAAAGTTCCCAAATCAGGACATTTCACCTGAGAATGAAAGAAAACGAGGGATGGGTGAATGTCAGGACAAGCTGAATTGGGGGAGTGTTCTTGTTTTGTATCTAGTACTGAGGAAAGACATTGATTTAGAAAAGACTAAAAGCATAGAGAGGAGCTTCCGGGTTTATTTGTGCATTAGACTTCAAGCAACGTTTATCACCAGTATGTCTCATTGCCTCACCTGCACGTTGGCAAGCATGGGTTCTGCAAGGAAGTCCAAGTCATTGGGCAAGTTGAAGGGTTGTCATTCTTTTCTTCTGCCATAGGCCGCCCTCCTTTCCATTTCTGTGTGGTTTGAGATGCAGCATGTTGTCCATGCTCGATTGTCCATCTCTTTTATTTACCATTAAGGAACTGATCCAATCTTCTGTCTCCAGATGTTTTTCTAATCCCGTCTCCTTCAGCTTCATGATGTTTTTTTTCTCCAGTAGCACACCCAATGATTCAGCTTCTGACTCCCAAATCAAGGCTGTAGTCCCTCTGCCTGATCCCAGACTGCCCTGCAGCTCCGTCAATATTGCTCTCCCATCGGTTCATCCCCCACAACCGCTCTGCCAGGTCAAAACTCTAGCTGTTGACCCTTGAGCTGTCTGTAAGAGGTGTCTCTGTTTAGATTCCCCCCTTTCAGCCAGCTGTTTTTGGCCACCTGGCCCACTCCAGGCCGAGAGGCTGGGCTGAACTGGAGTAGTTGGGCTATAAGGGATGTGCATGGCTCAGGCAATTTAGGAAGGCCATCTGGGTAGAAGACTCCCTTCTTTTGGCGACGAGGCATACTATGGATGTGGCTGTCATCAAAAGGCATGCAACCAGTCACCATCACATACAGCACAACACCCAGGCTCCACACGTCATATTTCTTGGGGTCATAAGGAATGCCCAGCAGGACTTCAGGGGAGGCATAGGCAGCAGATCCACAGTAAGTAGTGCTGAGGTCTGGATACCCACGGGACTCCCGGCCAAAGCCAAAATCCGTCAGCTTTGCTCGGCGGCCATCTGCAGCGAGCAGCACGTTCTCACACTTAAGGTCCCGATGCACCAAATTCCGGTCATGCAAGTAGCGGACAGCACTCACCACCTGAGCAAAGATGTCCCGAGCTTCTGGAGTACAGGGGAGCTTTCCGAGTTGTTGCACCATCTGTAGTAGGTCGGTGGAAGCAGCTTCCATCACAATGTAAAGTTTCCCGTTGCAAACCTCAATGAACTCAAAAACACGTACTATGTTTGGATGGCGAATTGACCGTAAGATGGAGAGCTCTCTTGGGAGAAACTTGTGTACAAAGTCAGGGGGTGCCCGTCGCCGGTCTACCACTTTGATGGCAAGTGGGCCTTTGTACTTGGCTGAGGTGGCTACCCGCACCTTGGAATAGCTCCCCTCGCCAAGGGTTTGGCCCAGCTTGTAGCCAAGCTCACTTAGCCATCTGTCCCCTCCAGAACTCTTCGACATGGTGCACGATGCCTTGGAGAGTTCTGCTGGGCTTGACCGGGACTTAGATTTTAAAGCTAGGATTAAAGACACTAACCCATTGTGTGTGGTAGGTGTTAACCTTCACCCTTTCCCATGTTCCCACTGAGTGCTTAGGGCAGGAGCATTATACAGTACCCAGGTATTGTGATGTACTGCAGGTGTCATGGGTTAATCCTTGTTTGGGTTGCCAAGGCTGTTGTATTTGCTTCCTACATTTAAACTACCCCTAGAGCACATATAAAAATATTCTAGGAATAACAGTTTGTTTTTTACTCTTAGGGATCAAGTTAGGACAATAGAGCAATAAGATTCAGCTAAAGCATTCCTAGCAGAAGTTTCGCCTAAAGAGAAGAGCCAGCGATGTGGATATACGTCTTTCATGTCATTGTTTTAATTTAGTTGTAAAGCCAAAGATATATGGAAATACACAGTTCTTTCAACTAATTTGGAGGAATTAGGTACCATCAGACCCTCATAACTACAGAACCCATATTGGTGTTTTCACTTATCCATGCTCGAGGTGGAAATGATCTTTCTGGGTAATTGCTATGTCCATCTTTATGTTAAGCTAGGATAGGAAGTAAGCTAGTTTAATGGTGTTTGGTCATATCTGCTGTTTCAAGTAATTGTATTCTTGCTGGGAACTGGGGATGCTGGGGTTTTATTATATTTTAGTAGGACTCAAAAGGATGCCCAGAATACTTCTGATTCTAGGTTTGCGGAACATTTCAGCAAGTTTTTTTTTCAAGTGTGACTCTCTCTTGCATTCTACCTCCCAGAGAAACCTGCAAAACTACCAGAGGATCGGGGATAAGGCAAGTGGAATGTTCTGACCCTTTTATATACTAACATGTGCTACTGTTTCCATGCTTGGCAGATAAATGGAAAGTGACAGATGGAAGAAAGAGTACAAGTGGCAGCAGGATCATAAAGCTTCAGGGACTAGAAGTGACCACTTTGGTAATGGGTTCCAGTGACAAATGGCTTAGGAGGCTGGGTATGTTTATCTTGGAGAAAAGAAGGTTGAGAGGGGACCTGATAGTCATGTTTACATAAGGATGGCACATTGGGGAGAAATGGGCAGTCTTATTTTCTGCTGCTCTAGAGATTAGTACATGGAGCAATGGATTCAAATTACAGGGGACAAGATTCCATCTAAACCAGGCATGGGCAAACTTTTAAACAGGGGACTCATGGCAGGCCGGAGCAGAGTGGATGGGCCAGGCAGGGAGGAAAGGGGGAGGTGAGGGGGATGGTGCAGGAGAAAGAGGGTTTCACACACGGCAACTTTCCTGGTCAATGGCCATGGCCTGGAAATTGTGCTCATCAGCACCAGCCCCGGGCCGAGCCTCTTCCTGGCCTGCACCTTGGCCTCCACTGCCTCGGGACTCAGATGCTCCTCACCTACACCCCTTCTTCTGGGCCTCTGCCCCTGGTGACAAGGAAGGCAGCTTCTCCTCTTCCACTACCACCACCAACTGGGCATGCAGCTGCCTAGGGTCTCCTTCCCTTCCCTGCTGCTCCTGTTGTTTTTCTTTTCAAGGGGGAACTTGCCCTTGAGGAAGGTGATGGTGGCAGAGAAGGAGGAAGAGGATGTGGAAGAAGAGCTTCTTTCCTCGTTGCCAAGGGTGGAAGCCTGGAAGAAAGGGAATGCACTGGCTCCATGTGCACCAGTGAGGACTAGCTAAGTCCTGTGGAGGTGGAGGCCAAGATGCAGGCAAGGAAGAGGTTCTGCCTGGGGCTGGTGCTGCAACCTGTTTAGGTCAGGTATGGGCAGGTCGTCACATTCTCATGCTTATAGGAATGTGAAAGAAAGGAGGGCTTGAGAAAAGAGCCCAAAAGGCCACATCCGCCCCCAGACCTGGGCTTGCAAATACCTGACATAAACATTTGGAAGAACTTCCTGACAGAAACAGAAAGCAGTGAAATTTGCTGCCTCAGGGTGTGGTGGAGTCTCCTTTTCTGGAGGTTTCAGAGCAAGGATTGAATGGCCATCTGTCAGGTGTGCTTTGAGCGTGTCATCCTGCATGGTAGGGAGATTGCCTTTGTGGTCTCTTCCATCTCTATGATTCCCTAAATTAGTAGGGTTCTCTGTTCAGGACTGCTTTTAGCAGTATCTGTTAGACTACTATTCTCATTTTCCAGTTTCCCTTAGTCCAGGGAATTGGCTCTGATGTTGCCACACTGTCAAAGCTCTTGGCTGTCCAGCATCCCAACACTTGCAATCTCCGGAGAAACAGAAGGGTTTAATTCAGCTTTCTTGTTATCTGTGTAGGAAAACAGTAGAAAGGGTTTTAGGGCCCTGTCCAACATCCATCACTACGCAGGGCCAGACCCACAGAGTCTTTCCATTTTGGTTTAAAAGCCTAGAATTTCTATTGAAGTGGTTTAGTCATAAATGTCTTTCTGCAGAGGCAGCAATCCAACTTCCTGGCTTCACTGGATGATGGGAAATGAGGGAGAAGGTTTTGTAAGGAGAGAGTGGAGACGTGGAAGGAGCAGGAGGCTAGATTTACTCAAGCTGATAATTAAAACCAAAGCAAAGCAAAAGGAGGGGGAGAGAAATGAGTACTCACTTCCAAAATGTCAAGTTAGGAAAGAGAGTCTAGTAAGATGTTGCATGCCACAAAAGCTATGATTTCAGCACACCAAAAAATCTAGCAATTGAACAGGAGCCATGGACTTCTGTGGGCAATTTATTAATTCCAGGGAGTTAGCGTGAATCATAGCTGTAAGACATTTCAGAGAGAAAAGTCAGGGTGCACATTGCAGCTTGAACCAAAGCTGGATTGAGCAAGCAGATCTTGATAGGTTTAAGCATTTTCTCTGGGTTTCCATGTGAAAGGTCAGGATTTTTTTTCCTTAACCGCATTGCTTGAAAAATACAGAAATATCCTGTTCACATACATCCGAGTTTCTGTTAGATTTGCATGTATACAGGGATGGTACTTCTGATCAAAGTTTAGGAGTAATGAGTTACAAAGAGAGTAATGACATACTGCTTTTTGATCTTGCCATTACGGTATAATGAAATAACATTGCAACATTGCTTTCTGGATGCAACATTATTGTAACTTGTATTTCTACAAGCATTTTAATCATTTTTGGCAAGATTTTGAGCAAAACTTTGAGGTCTTCACCCTTTCTCCGAATATTCCAGAAAAGTAGTTGAGGGAGGAGTAATGCTTAATATTTCCACCTACTAATTCAAAGTCAACCTGCAAGTATTCCACTGTTCCTATATTTATTTATTTAAAACCTATAACTAGACTTATTAGAACCTCATCACACTTACCAATTTAGGCATCCTGGGACACCTGTCAACCAGTTGCGAGATGGATAGGCACGCAGCCCATCACGCGACATCCCTCAACTTCTGGCGGAGGCCCTGCTCCCAACAAGCATGGAAGCATACTAGCACATCTCCTCATCAATACTAAAATGCTCCCATGTTGGGCCCAATTGGGTGACACCTACCCCATGTGAGCTTCCTGGCAAAATGGCATGGGATGTGTGTGTGATAAGGTCCCAAATGACAAATAACCCTGGCTGAAGGAATGGGTAGAAGAAGGTCAGAATCTGGATAAGTGACTTTTTGGTCTAAAACTCCTAGAATCCCTAACCAGCATGTCTAGTCTTGCCATCTTTACCCAAACATTGATATTTCCTTGGTCAGCAGACATAGATTTGGGAATACAAAACTGTGAAGATAATATATAAATTCCCTTACAAATCAGAGTTAGGCTGAAGGACAGGTCCTTTTTTCTGCAGCCTTATTCTTAGACGGTCTTCTGTTTCACAGTTTGCTTGATGGGCATGTGATTTTCATGCGGGGTGGAAAAACTCTGACTGGGCAACTACTTGCTACAGGAATGAATGGGAGATTTCTTCTTTTCAGGAGAACAGCAGACAGGGGGTGGGAGGAAGCAAAGACTTGTGAGCTCATCTTTCTCCACTGTGCTTTGACAGCCCAGAAATAGGAGACCTTTGTTTCCTCCTCATCTGATCTGTTGCTAACTTTATTAGCATAAAAATGTGCCAGTGAAGCTGTTTGCTTCCAGCCTTTTGCTCATGTTGCGTTGTCATGGTATAAATGTTGTGCCTTAATTTAAAAGTTGTGCCAAAAATTTGGTGCTGATCTACCACAGGAAAGAAGTACCAAGTTCTTTGGTGCTGTGTCAGTCTTCTCACATAGACCTCTTGGTATTTGTGTGTGTTCAGTCTTCTGATACCAGTTTGCTAGCTATTTGTAGGCAGAGCAGAGTTCAGATTGAGTTAGGCATTTATTGACCACTGGCTTCAATTATAGAGATAAAGGCAGTGTTTCCCAACCTTTTTTTGACCAGGGACAACCTGACTTGAGGCCACTTTGACCAGGGACCACTTGACCAGGAACCACTCTCCAACATTATTACCAAAAGTGTTACAAATTGGTTTTTGGTCAAGTTTGGATTCGGTTTGGTTATTTAGGGTGGTGATTCAGAAAATTGCATTGGATAGATCACATCAGCTCTAGTCTCTGATTCAGAACATATGCCATCCAGTAGTCGCCATTTGCTTGCCCACAGAAAACCATATTTAATAATCTAGAGCTGATGTGGTAATAGCAATCTTTCATGGGTAGTCAGCCTCTCCCCTTCCAATATCCCCATTGCCTCAGCACTATAAAAGGGTTTTGCGAGACCAGTCGCTCTAATTGTCATGTGGTTTCAAGGCAATGGCACAGTAATGGTGAGGCGGCAAACCATATTTTCATTCTTGGGGACCACTGGTGGTCCACGGACCACAGGTTGGGAACTATTGGATAAAGATGTGTCACCCCAAATCATTGGGAGCGAAATGGATTTTCTTTCCTGGATTGGGGATTTGATACCTTTTCAATAACTTAAATAAATGAATTAGGACCAGAATCTTTGATAGATGGCCTCCTACCATTTGAGATTTTCAGCTGGGATCTTGTTATTGGTCTCACCTCTGAG